ATATATATAAATGTATACTGCCCTCTATCCGTAGTTTCTCTTCACATATACTTCACTTGGGGGATGCATTGTGTATCTTCAAGGTCAGGAATTCTAGAGTATATGAATGGAGGATGAATCTTCATTCTGCATCAATAATTTAGGACTTTTTTGCTGTCCAACAGGCAATAGTGCAAGGTCTAGACCTTTTGCAGGGGAATATCCTCATGAGATGTTTCATCAGTTCTAGTGGTCTCTTAATTTTGGTTCTTTCTCTATGGGGCCTTTTCCAATTATGTCAGCCTCCTGGCTTGCCATTTTCCCGGGGATGATGGATTTCATACCAGATTGTCAATCTCAGTCCTCTCTTTCTCCTGAATGAATGGATTCTCTGTGGTGCAGTTTTCTGATAGCTTTGTTCTCATTTTGGGCCTCCTTTGTTAGCTTTTGGCCACTTTTTGCTACTCATCTACAAGCTTTGGAGTCTCCACTACCTCATCTTCAGGCTTGGGTGATAGATGCAATTGGTCCTGCTTGGATGGGATTGCACATCTGTGAATTTTCCTTCACTTTCTCAGTTACTCAGAGTTCTGGCTATATTTCAATCCCCTACTTGCAAGATGTTGCTAGCCCCAGATTGGCCAGTCTAGCCATGATTTCCTCTTCTACAGTTTCTTCATGTGAGTCCATCTCTGCATCTTCCTCTTTGTTTATCTTTATTGAGGCATCTTCATCCTAACATTCTACACCAAGACTCTTCCCAGCTCATTGGGGTTTAACATCTACAGTTGCCTGGGGTGTGCCTCACAAGGAATTTGTACCCACTTTACCAAACGTGTTCCCCATATTTTGTTTTACCTGTTTTTTACTTGGGTTTAGCTTTGTCTCATGTAATTTAGGTCAGACAACTTTTTCATCTTCTTTTAGTTATCCTGAACATCTGATGGTTTTAGACTCCCCAGTGCTATCCAGCCTTCTGCCCAAATGGCCTTTTCCATTACTTAATTGGAATATTAAGGTGATACTATATGCCTTGTCTCGACAACCTTTCAAGCCATTAGCCTCATGTACCATGTATCGTCTCTCCTTTAATGGGTATTTTGTGGTTGCTACATGCTGATGTCATCAGCTGGAGTTGTTGACATGTTAGTAGGACTCTTTATCTTTCCCTTTTGGTCCTTCTACACCTTGATTGGTCCTTTTTTCTCTAAGTCTCTGGCCACCAGGGAAGGGGATATGTCTCTCCACAATTCTTTTGCCACCTATTTCTCACCTCTACAATTGATCATAAGCTGATCATTTGTTTTGTCCTGTCGAGCCAAGAGGTGTTATGTGCCTCACTCTAACTCCTTTCATGGTGCTAGTTCTCATCTCTGTATTCTTTGGGATACTTTGGTGTCCAAAGGTTTATCCCCACTTTCTTACATCTCATCAGCTTCAGCACATTTATGTCTTTCATTGCCCATTTCTTAGACATGGGGGACATTTTACAGGCCTGTATGTGGACTTCTCCTAATGCTTTTTTTACTCACATTCTTTATATGATCTGGCAATTTTTCTTCTGGGGTTTTCCACTACCCCCTCCCCCTCATTGCCATTTTAACAACATTGCTAGATTATATGGACGAGGGAGGAATCTTATCTTGTCTTTCTTTGTCAGTGTCCCTTACATCTTGCTTTCACCGAATCCCACTCTGTGGCAGGTGTTGCCCAGACAGGTGTGCTTTTATCAATCCAATTTTGCACTAGCAACCCATTTGACTATACTTACTTCTGGTTGCAACAGGTTCTGTAGAAATGAGATGTTCCATAAGACTATCTAGGTGTGTTACCGGTTGGTATTACCATATTATCATGGACCACTCGCTACTCATGGACTATCATGAGTAAAGCTGAAGAGGATTCTGCCTGTCTCTGCCGATCATCAGATTAAATAAATAAGGGTCGGTTTGCTTTTAAAAATATAGGGAACTTGGTTCACCTACTGCACTGTTCTTCAGGGCTCACCAATGCATGTTACCCCCCGATTCTACTAGTGGAGCTAAGGAGCCCTTACCTCATCCAGTTTCCAGTCGCTTGGGTGGTGGACAGAGGCATTTCCTTCAGGGTGTTCGAGTGTGTTCCTCCACTCTTAGAGAAGAGGGCGAAGCTGGGAGCCCTCTTACCTGAGTTCCTGGATGTATTTCTCAGATGTCAGTAGGAGCAGTTCAGATTTGATCCTAAGCATTGACCCTCCTTATGAACAATGTTGCATTGTATATGGTTCATTGATGGAGGTCTACTATCTCTTCATAATCCTGAACACGAAGTGGTCCCATCCTAGGTCCTTGGTTGAATACAGTGTTCCATGTCCTTTCCATAATTCAGGGGGCAAATGGAATGCTATTTGCCCACTTTGTTGGAGAGTGAGGATGAATGTTCATAATTCCAGACTGGATGAGTTTATTTCCTTTGACTGAGTAAGGCATATGTGATCCCATCATTCTAAGCCTGGGGTGGCACCTTTTGGATTTCTTCAGGTGGAAGAGATAGTTTGTTCACTTCAGTGTGGCTTAGTTTCTCATTGTAATTTCGGTGGTTCAGAACACATCACTCTATGGCTACAGGTTGGGATCAAATCAAAAGTATATCTATGTATCAAATTGCAGTCCAATTGCCCTAACCACCAACATGGAATATAGGGACCATAACCCCTTAATTCCAACCCTGAGTTGTGGAACCTCGGTTATTTGGTTGAGGATGGCTCATAATAATTACTCACATACTATTCCACTCTTGATACCAATATGAAGTTCTGGGTGAAGAGCATACCTGTTCTGGATGTAGTGTGGTTTCCACACTTAGGTACCACTCTCATCTTGTCACACCCCTGTTCTATACAGATGCTTTCTGTATGGACAATGCCCTCACTGGCCCCCTCCACTTTCTCAATGTGGGATTCTAGCTAATGTGGCAGTGGAGGGTAAATATGTTTTGGGAGTTAACATTTTTCTAAATTGAAAATGTATTTCCAATAATACTTACCTCCACTGACACTCTCCCACCCTTCCTCCTCACTAAGAGCCAGTGTTAGTGACTGGGATGGTGTAAGTCTCGAAAAAGTCATTACAATATCTGAGTGAGGTGATTATATAAAGTATTAGAATATAGGGCACATTGATGCAGGTGGAGGAATTTGCAAATTAGATATTGCCAAGGGCATGCAAGTGAGGTATAAAAGACTGAAGTATGCGAGACTAATGCTTAGACAGGCAAAGCCAATGTCAAGGAATAGCAGAGGTAAGTATTATTGGAAATAAATTTTCAATTTAGGAAAATGTTAACTTTTATGAAAATACATAATGATACTATCATTTTTACTTGTATATGAAGATATCTAAAAATATAATACTCCTGTTACAGAACCAAAAGAATGAAAATGAAATAGTGTGTAAAATCTGTGGCCAGCAGGTTTACCTTATGGATAAAATTAAAGCAGAAAAGAGTGCTTTCCACAAGTCATGCTTCCGATGCAAGGAGTGTAGTAAGGCCTTAAGGTGAGTTGAGCTATTAAATTTTTCAGCATTTTTCTTTTTCATCTATTCTTTTCTTTGTGAGGTTATACCTAAAAATCATTTTTAAATGAAGAACTAACCAAAATAAAATTCACTATAGCTTGAAGTACATCTGTTTTATCTAATGATAATTATTAATTTTCAGTGTGGATACATATTCTTCCCACGAGGGTGAGATCTACTGTAAACTCCATTTTAGGCAGCTGTTTCAACCTAAAGCCAATTTTGATCAAGATGCTGGCCTTAGTAGGTGCATTACAAGTTGAATTGTACCATATGATACTAAATAGTTTTCATTGTTTAAAGATTCAAACCTTAGTTGTTTTCTGATCGTCTATGAATTGTGTATTTTGTGCATAGTTTTTTAGAATTGGCAATAAACAGTTTGCTCTTTTATATAACCTGCAAGCAAAATGCACGTACATTTTCTTTGTTTAATGTAAATTGAGAACTAACTACTACATGTATATTGGGAACTAGTATTTCTACAATTTGCAACTGCTTAAGGTTTAAATATTCTTTTATAAAAATACATTTTTTTAATTGAGAAAAGGATATAAATAGAAACTCTTCTAATAATTCTTAGTGTAAGATGAGAGCAGCATTGTAATATAGTTACATTAATAGATAAACCTACAAGATAAATCCCTATTCTGGTAATGTGAAAACTATTTGATACAGTTACTTATAATTCCAAATAGTTTTATGATTAAATTTAAAAAATGTGCATGTTATAACTATGCTTTTTAATTTTGTAATAAATATAAATATTCACACTATTAGTACTTAAGATATGAATGCTACTACAGTGCATGTTACTGGGTTAAACTATCATTGAATAAGGTCTTCATAATGTCACAACAACTTGTAGTAAATAAACAAAATATTTACATTCAAATATTATAACCTGTTTCTGCCTTATTGCCTGGTATCAGATTTTCTTTATCATGCATGTGTCTGCTGATAAAAAAAACAATAGAACAACTTATCATTGACATAGTATGATTGAATGGCATGAATTTCATATTTAGTAGATTATAATTAATAAACAATTAACTCTTTGTGTTTTTGTAAAATCTTTTCTTTTCTTTTGCAAGTGCTCAGTGACAACCAGGATGAAAAAGGTAGAGTAGCTTCACAATTGATTTCTATACTTTATTTTGCTGTTTTGTTTTTATAAATGATTCACAGGTTGTTTATATAAAAGAAACATGAGTCAGCTTGGTACTTAGTATATTTTTACTGTCAGTTTATTTCTTGTTAGTCATTTTAGTTGTTATTAATGTTCACTAAAGATGTGTATTTCTGTAATTTTGTTTGGGTTAAGTATGTTCATGCAAAGTTGTATATCTAAATCATTACTTGACAAAAGTCTGTGTGTGTACTTATAACTGGCAAACCACTGAACCAGTTGTCACCAAATGCTTGAGCCTTTAAAGGTTGATCACATCTCTATATGGAAATTTAAGTTGCTTAGACTATATTTTGTCAGTCTATAGCACATTGTTTTACATATTTTTGGAAATTTTTGTGATCCTTTACAGTTTTAAATACATATGAAATATTAGGAGTTTTGGGTCTTGTCATATTCCTTATTCATGCATTTATTTTTAGGGATGTTTTTTGTTGAAATCCTTTTGATGACACTATCCTCTAACATGTTTTTCTTAGATGTCATTTCCTGTTATCACACTTGTAACTACCCAGATATGGCAAAATGTTCCAATGTTTTTTGAACTAAGTGTTAGAGCAACATATCATTATGTAAATTAATAATTTATGTTCATATTTCATGATTTAATTGAAATTCCTTTTATTATTTTTCTAAGTTTTAATCAAGTAGAAATATGCAGTCTGTGAATGATATTGACACTTAGCTAGTCATTTATTTGTAGTTAACTCAATTGAAACAAAAACACCAGTGATTTAAAACAGACCCAGAAATAAAATTACATTTTTAATAACAACATATAATAGGGAATCAATTTGCATTCAAAAGTTCTTGGTAATTAATATGCAATTATATCATAATACTATTTATGAAGTGAATGATTGCTTTTATTGTAATTGCAAAACAGTGTGTCACCACAATTTGTAACACGATACTAAAACTGATGGCAATTCCTCTTTCTCTTGTATTTCACTAGTTGTAGGTTTTATTCAAGCTCTGCATCTGATGCCTCTTCACTCTCTTCATAGCTATCAGATTGGACCTCACATTCTCCTGATATGATTTTGTATTTCTTCTCATATAGCATTTTAGTTCCTGACTGTAGCCTTCCAACAGTTTATAAGATATTTTTGCAAATAAATTTGATTCTTTCCTTAAGTCAGCTTCTTTAAACTTTACTAGTCTAGCAATTTCATCCAGTGCTTTTTCCAGGCATTGTTCTCACAAATGTCTTTGGGTCAAGGATAGGCATGGTCAGTTAATTTCTTTTATTGAAAAATTAATCTGTCAGACTTGAGAACCTGGTCCTGAATTAAGCAAAACAGTTCTACCCTATAAATTTGAAGTGGATCCTGTGGGCATTCATCACAGATTTCTTTGCATCCAATCACTTATTCCATCTAAATCTGTGACTGGGTAACTGGCATTCAATTTTCATAGTAGAACTTAGTGTTCACCAAGAACTTCATCAATGAAAGAAACCAGTAAAACTAAGTGCTACTTATACTAAATATTTCTTTATCAACTTTAGTTTTGAAACTGATTTCAATGGCTACGAGAATCATATTATTAATAGAATTGAAATCTTTTTTTTTTGGTGTTAATGGAAGATTTATGGTTGTTGAAATGCTCTCTAAGAGTCATTTGGGTCTGTCCTACATACTGGCGATTTTATTTTAGATGCTGTTTGAGGTAGATAATCTTGCGTGATGTACAGGTAAATTTGTTAGCAATTTTAAAGTGTTTTTGGTTGTACTTATCAGAAAAAGAGTCAGTAGTTTTTATAAACTTGCAGGTTAGACAGACCATTTGGTGGTTGGGCGTAATTCACTTTTGCATGAACAAGAACACCTTTAAGACTTTTAGTAAATATGATTATTTCACTATTCTTAAGTTAAATTCAATCATGTACTAACCATATGAAATATTATTTTGAAAACATTAAAAATCAGTTGTTTTAAAGTCAGTTTTTATGTTCCATTAATAAATGCTCCAAAACATTCTCAAGGCTAACTGGTATGCATTATACCTTCCCTGCAGCCTATATTATCTTTTTATTTTAAGTATGATCAAACCTTCAGGGCTTGTTAGATATAAAACCTAAATTACTGCCATGTTAGTTAGTTAGTATTTAAAAATTACAGATCTAAGCTTGTTAATACTGCACCTACTATTATTTATTCTGCTTAATAGGGCATAGACGTGTCCAAGCTCCAACAGCTATTCAACCTACTCTAGCATTAATTATTCTATTCATTTTGGGTATCTATTCAATGCTGATGAATTCAAACATCAGATTTATTTTCAGTGAAGTTAGGATTTTTGGCAAATGTGCATTAAGCTACTTAAATTATAAATTATTCTTTTTATAGGCCTATAGGGTATTATTACTATTATTAACTTCCTACTGCCAGTATTAGTGTAGACCTACCATTAGCAGCGTAACAGGTAGTGTATCTTATTTGAAAAATTTGATTTTGTCTTTTTGGAATTTCAGATAAATTTTAGATTTACTTATGAAAGTGTTAAATTGATACTGTAAGAACTAAGCTTAACTCAGAGATTGCTCTTGTCTTGAATTCCCACAATAACCCAGTCATTACATTGTATAGGTTTATCAAAAGAAGACAGCATGTGAATTTCTTATCAAACAAATAAATTAATTTCTTAAAAATATATCCATACGAATGGAACTGTCACCTTTTCATCAATTCAACTTAATGGCAACTTTATTGTAGAAGGTCATTTGCATCCAGTAATATATGTCAAAAATGTTCATTTCTTGCAATGAGCATTTGAGTTATCATGCTCAAATCATTGGTGTTTGCAGAGTGCAGAGAGTTATCAGCTGGCTGATTACTGTTAATGTATTTGTAACAAAAAGCAGAATATTTTTAATTCTGCATACTGCAGTCCACACTTCAGTGGCCAACAAAATTAAGGAGATATACAAATTATTATTGGACGATACTATTATAATTAAATTAGTCATTTGTACTATAAAAATGTACATGTTGATATATGGACATGTTTGTATGTAAGAGTTCATTCAAATTTGTTATTGTCAAGTTTTTTATTCTAATTTTCCATTTATGTGTTAATATGTTTATTAATATACATTAAAAGCAGAGCGGCCCAGTATGTATTTGCCTTTTTGTCCCTCCAACCAGTCAGCCCCTGACATCGACAGTGTGTAAGGAACTCCATGCTGCTTGATTCAAAAGGTGGACTGCAGCCCATAAGTGGCTCATTACTGCCTTTAATGCAAAGATTTGACTATCATGGTACTTTCAGCATTTACATGTGGGCGAAGACCCATGTAAAAACCACTGTGTAGCACAATGAATCCTTTTACGTATTGTTTGCTGTAGGTGAAAGAAATCTTAAGTTTCATAGTGATCTGGAGATTGTATATGATCATACTGTTCCCACTGTGAAAAGGAATTGGAGTAGTATCATAGTAAAGTTCCTGTTTTTTTCTCATTTGGACTGGTCCACAGGAAATAGTTAATAGGATCCATAAATATTTTGTTGTAACATTTTGGACAATGCTTCCTTGTTTGTATTAATGAAATTCTATGGGGGAAGAACTGTACCTTTTTCAGTATGACAATGCAGTATACTTTACCACACCCAATGTTCAAAAAGGGTATGAGATGTATAATATCCAGAGTGTGCTTTGGCTAGCCAAGAGACCTGGCCTGTATCCAAATGAATCACTCTGGAACATTATGTTTAGGGAACAGAAGAGACAGACCAAACTTGACACTGTTTAGCAAGATGAGTTACAGTTTGTTCCACCATTTGTATATCAACAATTTATTATAAAAAATGGCATTAAAACATGACCTTTCTATTTTCAAGGTTTCTTATTCTAATATTTTTATGGCATTATGAGGTATATATGTACAAATATTCATACACATCTGTTTTTTATATACTTTTGATGTTTTTTACTTTTCCTCTTAGCTCTCCATTACACAAGAACATGCTATATTTTACTCTGTGGCATTGTTAAAGCCATTTTTTTGCTCTTACACCTCTTGTGCTTCACTTTATTTCTAGCATTTTATATCTATTTATCTACTGAGAATGGTTGCTTGAAATGTGATCTTAGAGAAGATTAAATCGTATTTCACAGTTTTTAACCTCGTTTCTGTACAGCCTTGTAATTTTAAATCTTATAACTGCAAATTAAGTTATGATTCAGGCATGAACATATAATATTGATTGTTATAGGTAACGTGAAAGTGATCATTGAACTTCCATCTATAACTGTGTTAAAATTAACAATAACTGGATCAGTTATTTGTTTACTGAGTACAGTGTAAGAAAATGATAAGAAGCTCCCATTAACCTACTGTTAAAAAACATTAAATGTTTCTAATATAAATGGTGAATGCTCTCCAAGAATATAAATTAGTCTACTTACACGAAAAAGATTTAAACTCAAGTTGATCAGTATATTTTTCTTACTAGTAGGCAACTTAATGCTGTCCTTCATTTTGTGTTTAGTAGTCATTTGATATTATTTTGCACGTCCTTTGTGTTCTCAAATCAGCAAGTTGTACAGTATTAATATATTAATTTAACTGTTAGTATCTATCAAACTCCTGATCAAAGTAAGCTACTTATATAGATCAGAAATAAAAATTATCCCTGTAATAAATATTGCTAATATGTTATGCTGTTCTTACTTATAAGTTATGGTTTTAATGCTGAAAGCCTGTAAAATATAAGAACACCAGTAGGTCTCAAAATTGTTTTAAAAACAAATTAACTGCAAATGTTTTTTTTCCACATTCCTGTTAATTTGTGTCCATTGTGGCTATTTTTATACACCTCTAATTTGTAGCCTCAATGGACAAATCAAAAGGTATGTGGAAAAAAAACTAACGTTTTAGTTTGCTAGTTCTTATTTGTAATGGTTAATAAGCATAACAACTAGCAATGATTAGTTCTTGTACCCAGGCTAATATGTTGATGATGTAATTATAAAAATATAATTATTTTGTAGTAATATCATATATTATGGACATGTAAGTGAAACATAGATGTATGCCTTGCTAAAAGAATAAATAAAGTTCAACTAAGCATTTTAAAATCAAAATTATTATGTGTGTGTAATGTTTTTAATTATTTTTGTTTACACTTTGATTAAACTTTTCAGGAAAGCTAAGGAAGTTTGAAATGATTATTCGTGAAAATGTGCCACAAGAACTGCCAGAAGATGTGGTCCGATGTAAGTATATTTGTAGTGATTATGTCTAATTTGATAAAATGTGTAGCAAAAAACAACATATCTTCTTATGTTTTGTATTTTAAAATAAAAATTAGTAACATACAAGTGTTTTGCATAAAGTAATGTGAAGTTATTATATTAGGGGCATAACTATTTACTTTCAATGTTAGAAGCGTTTTTATAAAAAATGTTAAATCTTTTCTTCTACATGATAGAAATTAAAATTATGTCCTTTACCTTGGCCACAATAAAACTTGGAGTTATAGCATTATGACAAAAAAGATTGCACGAAGAAACATAATTCTAAATTTTAGATGATAAGTTTAATTTTTCTTGCTGTAAAAATTTTAAAATTGGAAAAACATTAGATCTTTCAGAATGTTGGTGTAGTCAACCCTTCCCCTATATAAACACATCCTTGTGAAAATAATGATAAGAAAAAACTGTGGTTGGAGCATGGATTACAAAGATATCATTAATATTTGTCTATATTTGCATTTATAACTATAAAACATTATTATGTAGAAAAAAGGGTGTATGTATTTGTTTCTACTGTTGTTCAGTTGCTAGTGAATGTATATTTTAATCAGTAAATATCAGTTATTTCCTTATACTTTTATTTAAAGTTTGTATATATTCTCTGTTATTGAATTTAAAAACAGTGATATGTCAATTCAAATTTCATGATATGCATGAGAAAATCTTTTAACATTTTTTTGAATAAGATGGTGCAGATATGTACTTGTAGAAACAAATGACCTACTTAAAAAAAATGATTGGATGATGTTTCTAACAAACACTTTATCAAGACTTGGCTTAACCAAAGCTTGATAAAGAGTATTTGCTCTAGGTTTAGCTCAATAAAAATTTTTTAGATTAGATAATTTCACAGATAAATATAAACGTTGAAACAAAATACCCAGTAAGCAGATGATTAAAGTACAAGTTATATTATCCATGTAATAGAGAGGTCAAGTGTGTTATATTAAAATAGTTTAGGAGCATCAACACATTGTTACATTCCATGTCACCATTTGGTAATGCTCTATCTGACAAATTTGCATCTTGACAATGGCTCTACAGAATACTTTTTCATCGAAATAAAGCTCCATTTTAATACTTAAGTTCCAAAGCACACCTCCTCCCTGCTACTTTCCATAATCAATCTAATGTTTGGGGATGACAATTTCTCAGCATCCATTTCAATAGTTTGATTCCAGAGAAATTCATAAGCACTGTGTGTGTGTGTGTGGTGACTTAACTGGTATATCTTTCTGGAGTAGTGTGAATACTTGTTTTATTCTCCAGCTGCTTGAGATATGCAATGGTTGAATGGGAGATATGACAGGAAGCCTTATCTTGGTGAATCCATACCCAGTTGGCTTCATTTCTGTAGAAAGTTGGTATTTCTGTGTAGTATAAAGGGTCCAAAACTTTAGTCTTAAAGTAAGCAGAGTTCATTTTGATATTTGCATCCTCACTTCTGATTTTTGACTTTCCTGTAACATAGATTTCAATGATGATCATGATTTTGTTAAAAAATGTTTTGTGAGATGCCAGAGATCACTTTTGTAATTTTTTTTTTTTCACCCATTGACAGTAATTAAGGTACATATTTCTTTGTGCGTGTCATCAGGTACTGCCATTTTTCTCTGGCTAATTATCTGTGATACAGTTTTCTACAGCTGGCTTTTCTTTCCTGGATATGTCAACATGTGTATACATCACTTTTCCAGATGAAAATCCTATTTGATTATTTTGCATTCTGTTTCTTGAGATACTTGGATGGCATTTGCCTCTGACCTTTGTGTTCATGGATTCTTACCTGTTACAAGATGCCACACACTGCTAACTATGGCAGGAATATGATTTGTTGCAGGTTTCAGTGGTTGGTCCTCATGCTTCTAGTTGATTTATATTCTTTTGTTTCCCAATATCCCCATGTAGGAAATTCCAAATCCATGATCTGAACACATATTAATGATCTGAGTATCTGAATATTTTGCATCAGAAAGGGCTGTTACATACCTTTACCAAAAGGGATCAATTTTTGGTGACATCACACTACATATCTTATATCAAGCAGTGACAAAATGTGGTTCTGATATATATTCCTTTCCACCACAACTTTATATTGGCTGTGGTTTTCACATAACTTGCTGATTTATACATTAAAAAATGGTTTAATACAACATACTCAACCTTTTGTATATTATAAAATTTTAAACTCATGTTTTACCATTACTGCTACAAATATTTTGCAAGTTCCCAATTTGTAGAATTCTAAATGTAGTATCTTAAATTAGCAAAAACATCTTGGTATAATATACTATTTTAATACAAAAATGTTTAGCTCACATCAGGTAAAAACAAACAAACAAACTCCTACCAGGTGATGAATGATGTATGAAAACAGCTTTTCAACACTAATGTAGCTTTAATGATAAAACTCACAGAATTGATGCTACCAGTATCATCCCTGCATTAGTTTTCTATAAACATTTTCCATAGTCACTCTTCCAAGGTCTGAGCAGACCCCATCATAAAAAATTATTTCAAAAATATTTGAATGATAATAAACTATTATTTTAGAAACAAAAAATATTAACACTCAAAATATTTTTCTTTATTAATCAATAAATGAACATTGAATATTACGTCTTGTTTCTTTTTCACCACCTAAACTAGATGTAACAATTTAACACAAACTAGTCGAATACTGAAGCTACTGAGAACAACAAACATGTACGTGCTTCCATCTGTCGGTGCCAATGTTTAAAAAATATTTGGGGTCTGTGAAGACCCTGGAAGACTAATGCAGGGTTAAAAAAACAAGTTGAAATATAAGGAAAAACAAATATTGAAAATACATTTACTTAAAAACAGCTTGTCAAAAGAAAAACATGTAAGTTACAATTGAATTCATTGCAGTATCTTTGAGGTTTAATGTAATTTGATTAGTAGTTGTTGCCTTGCATACTTAAAAGAACCGATTATATAAGTGTAACAGGTCGTAGTTTTCAGTTTAGTTCTGTTTCTCAAATATTTTTGTACGTGCAACTCATAAGGTATGTACATTTCTTTTATTAATATTGCTGTGCTGCTGAAGTGTGGACTTAAAGGTAAGACTTTTTTAGAATAGTAAGTTTTAAAAGGTATACTATCAGCATTTTGCCATTGATAAAAATGTAGTAGTGCAGGGAAAGTTTGTTTTTATCTGTTTGTCTCAGGATGTCTGCCTCTGTGTACTTTTTTAAGACGTATACTGTTTTACCTTAAACTTTATGTGCATTTTATTAGAGAATGTAACCAAGAATGTTTTAAAAGCATTTTAACAAAATAATTATCTTTAATATAATCCTATAACTTATGTTATTAAAATATTAAAGAGTTCTAAGGATATCCTGAAGGCACAAATGCAAGCTGATCAACTGATAAACTTTACACACTTCCCTGTTCATTCACAATCCACTCTTTCACATTTTCCATGCTGATTGTTTTATGCTTACTATTTTATTGTTTGTGTTTTTGTTGCATTTCGCACAAGGCTACTCAAAGTCTACCTTTACTAACCATTAGTAATTTTGAAATGATAGACTAGGGGTAAGGCAGCTAGTCAACACAACTCACCACAAACTCTTGGGCTACTCTTTACCAATGAATTTTGGGTTTAACCATCAACTTGGTATGCCTCATGGCTGAAAATGCAAGCATGTTTAATGACAAATTTCGATCTCGTGGCCCACAGATTGTGAGTCAAGTGCCCTAACCACCATGCCCTCACACTATTGTAAGAGTACCCGAAATAGAACAATGTATAAAATAAAATCAAAGGACAACCTAGCTGAACCAAAAGGTCCACTAAATTAAACTAAACCCTTAAAAACAAAACAAAAAAAACCCTCAAAGCCAGCTCTTATCATTTAAATACTTGTTAATATTTCCCTTAAACTCACTTAAATTAACTGTATCCACCACATTGGAAGGCAACACGTCCCAGAGGCCAACCATTATGTTAGAAAAATAAAGTTGTCTTAGCTGAAGATGACTCCTACCCTGTTAACATTTATACTTGGGTCCTCTAATCTTACTATTCTCACCATTAAATACGAAAAAAAAATGATGGATGAACACTATTAATTCCCTCAATCTTAAACACCTCAATCAGATCCCCTTTAACATTTCTTTTTTTTTCAAGAGAAAACAAGTTTAGAGATCTTAACCTGTCTTCCTATGATAAACTTTTCATCCCATGTATCATCCTATTAATCCTCCTCTCAACCCTTTCCAACAATTCATTGTTCTTTCTGAGATAAGGAGAGTTTCAGGGAATTGTTTATGAGACTTTCTGCAATATTTTTGTAAAGTTTATTGTCTTTACCTTGAAGTTACATTTCTCTCTAATGAATTTACTCTCAGTTGAAAACATTAACTCCAAGTTGTATAAAAGTACATTAAAACCCTCCATTTCTAAGCTTATTCAAAAGATGGTTCATGCCGCTGAAAGAACGCTTAGCTCCAGCAGTCGAAACCAGTACCATCATCAGACATTCAGATTAATAGTGTCTTGATGTTATTGCTCTTTTGTAACGTACTTGAAGGAGCTAAAATCAGCCCACACGACATCAGTATACAGTCCATCAAAGAAGCTACATCCTCTCATCACATCATCATGTGTCAAATTGCACATTGACTGGACCATTTGGAAGGAAGCACATACGTCGATGATGGAGACTGCTTGATCATTGGATCGGTGCTCCATTTGTTCAATCATAGTGTTTACAAATTGTTAACGGTTTTGAAGGTTTGACTTTCTGGCTCATTTTCAAGAATCAGCCGCATGCCAGAAGCCTTCATTTTGAGATCTACGACAGCTATAGTAAAACAGTTTTCTTTACTTAAATGGGCACACTGAGTCCCTGTACTTCTCAAGTGTGCTATCATCGATGCCACAAGCTGCAGAAGTGACGACAGGTTTAGGTTTTCTTTTTTGCAAAACT